TATTTTATGGATACTAAAAATGAGAAGATATATTTATTGAATGTGTACTATATTTTCCAAATATTCTTGAATAATCTACAAAATTTAACACACGATCACATTGCTTTATTGTAGATTCGATGTGATAAATTTAAGATAGGACGTGACCCTAATATTGAGTGCAGGGGGTCCGAAACCGCATCCTTCACCACTACTTATTACTCCGATCACATAGTACGATCCATTTATCGGTAACATTACTGGTCCACCACTATCACCCTGAAATAAAAGTATGGAAACATCAAAACGTAATCATCGACATTGGTGATCGGAGATGATTTAATTACTTTGCAAGCATCTTTTCCATCTTTTGAACCTGTACATATCACTGATTCATAATTTTTATTATTCGTCATATATTCGTAAGCCTTTGCGCAAGCCTCGGTGGTGGTTACTGGTACTTGTACTTCCATGAGAACATCGCTGGTTGGTTCCTCTGCGTTAAACAAATATCAGGTAAAATGAAATATCTAATATAATTGATCAGCACTCACCCCAGCCCAGACGTCCCCATCCCGCGAGGAATGGATGAGTGTTCACGAAGTCTAGATGCCGAATTCTTCCCACCGGGAGGCAAATAGGATGTATGTTATCTAAAAATATTCTAATTATAAAAGAACTGGGAATTATTATTTAAATATCTTATGGACCATCAAGCTTACACGTGAATTGTATCTCACGGTCAAGTCGGATGATAGCGATATCATTCGTGGACAAGATTCCCTGATATTTTAATTTAGGATCAATGATCATTTTGTCGAATCCAACGTCAATTGGATGTGCCCCGTCGTCGTCACGCACCAAGTTTAAATCCCCGAGACGTATAACGTACAGATTAAGGTAGATCAGGCAATGAAAAGCGGTTAAAACGTGTCTGGCTGATATAAGAGAACCACTACAATTCCATGTCACTTCGGAAGTTGGAGTTGCTTTATATCCCAGTGCAGCCATCCAGGGCCATGCGTCTGAGATCAAATTTTGTTGGGTGTAATGAATTAATCGCTTAATCAAGAAACGAAGTCTGTGATGAGACATACTGAGTTTTGCTCTCGTGCCACCGTCTATCTTCGGGTGGGAGACATAGCTGTAACCGCACTGGGGTGGAAAGAGAGGTCCGTACACGTTTTGTCTCATCGTCTTTCCCGGTTTGACTGGGCAACAAACGGGGTGAGTCATGCCCTCCATATGGCAGATGAATTTCCTTACGAAATCAACTGCTTTTTTGCCTTCTCTTCGCAGCAATTGTAGCACAGGCTGGCACTTTTCAATTTCGATACACGTCCCTGCCACTTGAGTCGGTGTCATGCATTCTGCAATTCTTTTTATTTGATGAATTATTCAGAGATCATAAGAGGCGTACGAACCTTGAGATATTGCTAACGTTAGGGAACTGATTAACATCAGACACGTAAAAAATACGCTGGATTTCATTTTTCTCTTCTGAAATGAGAAAAGATATACGAATTTCTTGTATTTCAGTTTTTATTTCTAATTATTAATTAATTTTCACATATATAATAATTGTTTTTTATATCTAGTTCGAAAGGTTCGCAGGTAAGTTATAAATAAAGACACAGGAGAGTAATTAACGAACATATTAATCTATTCGAATAAATACGACAAATTGTAATCACATTTCATCTGCGCTTCTCAATGCAAAATTCCATCTTACCTTTAGTATGGTCACTGTGGGACACTTTCTAGGTTCTAGGAAACGAACCACTGAAACTTTTCTGCGTTCTGGACAGAATATATGTCCGTACATACATGTATAAACATTTTCTTAAGACTACGCTAGTAATATTTTTCGAGGATCATTACAAAAATAATATCACACGGTCATTAAACATTTATATTACGTTCCATAAAGAAATTAGTAGCGTGTACAAAGTTTTAAGCGGTATTTCGTGATCGTAGACAATAGAAACATTAGAGGTGGCTATTATCTAGATAATAATGAAACTAGAATTTCAGTTTTCCGCGCAACGCGTGGGAAAACGTGCGTTCACGTAATCGGTTTATTTCATCGCCGAGAGAATAAAGTCGAGGAAATCCGTGACTCTGGTGTAGATGCCAGGGTATCCGGCTTCGGCACAGTTGTGTCCATAGGACACCACTCCTATTTGGTAGAAGGTAAACTTTTGCGGTAGCATCAACGGTCCTCCACTGTCGCCCTATAAAAATATTAAAAACATGTTTAACACTCGAAAGAAGTAATAATAATTTTTAATGGCAAAACGTTTATACAAAAAATATATCAGTAATTCTATAATCCGTTCAGCGAGTCTAGATAGCAAAAGAAAAGAAAATTTAAAATAAGAAATACACAGAACAATTAACGACGCGACAACAGTAACTTCACATGTTTGAAACACGTAATATTAACAGTTGCCGCACATCTGCTAATCATTAATTAACATCGGTAATTGTAAATTTTTTCACTCAGGTATTCTTTGCCCCTGAATCTTTGTCTTTTCTGGTGCTTCTACTTCCTGGATGGATTATAACGTCTCGATGTAGAAAAAAAGATCCATCGAGTATTATAACTCCTGTATCTAATTACATACAAAAGGTTTCATTTGAATACCTGACAAGCGTCCTTCCCACCACGTTGGTATCCGGCGCATAATACACGATTGTCAATTATAGCTGCTTTTATCGCGGAATAAGCCTGTTTACAAGCCGCATTGGTTACCACCGGCACCTGCACCTCTCTTAAGACGTCACTAGGCGCTGCCCCTAAAACACGCGAGGAAAACAAATTAAAAATTGCAATCAAGTAGGTAATTGTATGTACAATAAAAATTATTATATTTACTGAATCCAAGTGATCCCCATCCCGCTATGAACGGATACGTCCGTACAAAGTCTTTGGTTCGAAGTGCATCGCTCACGGGCAGGCAGATCGGATAAACATAGTCTGCAAATAAAAAGTTGAGTAATAAAATTCTATGTATTCCTGTAATTCGTATGAAACTTACCTGAAAATGGAACGTCCTGCGCCAGTCTAAGAACAGCGATGTCGTTGACGAATTGCTTAGGATTGTATCCAGGATGCACGATCTTAGTTTCGATTTCCACTTGAACAGGACGTGCGCCATCGTCGTCTCGGTACAAATTCAAGTCTCCGATGCGAACCACGAACAAATTATCACGTATGCAATGCGCGGCGGTCAAAATGTGTCTGCGTGATATAAGAGAACCACCGCAGAGCCACAGTGTCTGCGACGGGTCTTTTCTACTCTGATAGCCCAACGCAGTGATCCAAGGCCATGCGCCTACGATTATATCAAGAAGATTCATAGCTTGTGCACTTATAGAAAAATTGAATATAAACATCGGAATGTTTGATGAATTTCTATTTTTTAAATTAAATGATCGAATTATATGACGGAGTTTTTAATAGCAGAAATGCGTACCAAGGACGGCTGGTACTCCACCGACCACTTTGGTGTGGGTGATGTTGCTAAATCCGCAGTCCGGTGGAAGCAGAGGTCCGTAATCATTCTGCCCCGCGTTTCTGCCACCCCTATCCGAGTATCCTGGACAGCAGACCATCGCCTCGTTGTCTTGGTAGTTGTAGTTGCATAAGAATTGTCTGAGATAGTCGGCAGCTGCCAACCCCTCGTTTTGAAGTATCGTCAATAAGGGTTGACAATTGCGAATGCTAACGCATACGCTTGTCTCTTGGTTCGGTGTCACGCATTGTTCTGCAATTTTACGTTTTATTAAATATTTATAAAAAATTAATCTAAATCTGATGAGGTAAAAATTATTTGTAACAAACAATTGTTTACTGATTTGATTAAAAGTAACTTCCTAAGCATTTATTATAACATATTGTTAA